TTTGAAAATAAGTAATCAGTAAAGTAACGAGATTACTTTTTGGGGGAAGTAATCAGTAATTAGTTACTGATTACTTTTTATAAGTAACTTGACCAACACTCGTTACCAATATTAGAGATACTGCACTCACTTGTTGCTGTTTCTGATACACTGGGTGAGTGTGAGTGTATTATTAGTGGCATATTAACACAGTTGAAAAGTGTAGTTGCTGAAGGGGAATAAAAGCCCTGCCTCACTCCAGACCACGTTTTCATCGGTGAAGGATAATAGAAAGTGACAACTTCTTACGGTGGAACTACCTTCCCGCTTTCCTTCCGCCTTCAAATCCATTCACTGTGTGCATAACTGTGTCCAAATTTGTGTGAGTAAAAAGGGGAGGAAAAACAGAGACAAACGAAAGCTTGTACATGCAGACTTTACCTAACTATCGATGTTTCCCCCAGATGTAAGTGTAACGGCCATGCCAGCGAGTGCATTGAGCGAGAACATGGTAACCTGGTCTGCGCCTGCCAGCATCACACAGTGGGAGCCGACTGCCAGAGATGTCACCCCTTTTACCAGGATAGACCCTGGGCCAGGGCCACTGGGGACTCTGCCAATGAGTGTTTGAGTGAGTAGCTTGATCCCGGGGTGACACCGTGAACCCACTGGGTGCAGCCATCTGGAAAATACACGGGCCAGTGTTAAATTCAAATGACAGTCTTAGGCTGTCAGAGATCCCATTTAATCCATCAGTGTGCTACCTCACATCAATCCCCAGTATTTCTTAAATCTCGATATCTTCACATGCACCTTTTGTCTTTTATTGTGGGAGTTAGTAAATACAACCATTCATCACTGTTGGGGAGGATAAAAAGCTCGTAGTCTGACATGAAGTCCTCGTGGAAATCACTGAACTTTACTGATCTTCATTACGCTCTAGGCTGAATGATTTTTTATTATGCTGAACTCAGCTTTACACATAATTTAACAATACGTCTGCCACCGCAGATGACCTTTTTTTCTTTTTTTGTGTGCAAAAGTTGCCAGTAAAGGAAATAATTTGATGTATTTAAAATTGCCTGATTGCAGAGCCAAACAGCTGAGAGATCCCTGGAAGATTTGTGTATATTTGAGTTTTGGCTCATATGCACAAATGTTTGCAGGAATTCTCCCACCGTTGCTTTTGTATATGTGATTTAGCTGAGTGTTATCGGGTTTGGCTCGTCAGACCATGCATTCCAGCTGAATCCTGCTGACGATTAACCCTTCTTTTTTTCCCCCTGAATTCTATTAAGCAGCAGACTTGCTCTAATTACTCTTGCACTTGCTTCCAAGCAGATGGCATCTTAAATAGACTTCTGCACCCAACTTAATCAATTCTGTGCATTAATATAGACACCTTATAAAAGCACCAGAGAATGTGAAAGTGCAAAAAACCAAATGCTCATTGTAATTGTTCATCTCTGTCTGGCAAAAGATTCATTTTGACTGAGTTTGCCCCAGCCAATGCCGAAACAGTAATCACCGCTTTTAACTACTTGTGATTACAATCAGCAAATCAAAATCAACATACACTAAATACACAGAGTCATGTAAACAATAAAAAACAGGCTTTTTGGTGTTTAAACTAAATTTCTGACAAAATATTATTTTATTAAACTTCATCATCAAAAGGCTGGACAGTCTACATAAACATATGTCGAATGGAAGAGGTTCAAACATAAGGTCTGTGGACCAGAATCAGCCCAAAAAAGACTCCAACCTGGCCCACTGGACAGCTGTGGAAAATGTGAAGGAGGACATAAATTTTGGACTGTTAACAGCATTTTCATAAACAACTTATTGTACTGACAAAGACCTCACCCACAGCCATTCATACTACATTAATACAGTAATAGATAAACAATTAAATGACAGAAAAGTTCCTGATTTTTCACAATGTACTATAGAAACGTCTGTTTGTTTTACAGTGTGTACACAGTTAAATCAATAATAAGAATAGGAAATTTTCTTTGAATGAACAGAAACTTGCCACTTTATGATTACAGGGCAGTCTTGGCAATGAGGTATCAGAAGTTTCAGTAATTTTACACATGAATTTCTTACAGTTTAAGCCCAAAGCTTCATGCTGAGTCTTTCATTTACTATAGTGTTTCTTTATCATGTAGAAAAACTGAGACAGTCTATTGAAATAACTCTTCTTTTTCTTATTTTGAGATATCTCATGGATTAAACTTGTCCGGCCCACTTAAGATCAAAGTGGGTTGTATGCGGCCAACGATGCAAAATCTTGTTAGAGTCTGTAAATGAAGGACTTACAGGGTAAGTTTCCTTTAAAATATATTACCCCATAAACTAAAAAACATGCCTTATTATACGAGCTATAAAATAATATAGGCTGCAGTACAAAGTTTAAGATTTAGTGTTTTATCTCCAGTTTTATGACTACATAAAAACGTCCTTTCCTCAATTATGATAATTTTACATAAAACACTGTAAGTTTTGATATGATTTACTGGCAGGCATTGGGTGTTCTATATATTTAGTAATTTATTAGCCATGCAACCCATTATCTTAGCAAGGGCAGTGTTTGGATTTGCAAACATTCATAGCGACATGTAGACTGGCATGTGTTGACAATATGGATCATTTCAGAGAATTTAGATGTATTCTTGTTAAACACGTGTTTCTGCATTTATTGTGGATGTATAATGTGTCCATCCATCCATCCATGGATTGAAATCTATCCCTGCTGACATTGGACAAGAAATAGGGCACACCCTGCGGGTCAGCATTCAGCCAAAGGCCTGACACATACTATAGAGGCAGGCAACCATTTACACCCCTATTCACACCTAAAAGTTGTAAAGCTAACTTGCATGTCTCGCGTGTGGACAGTGAGAGGAAACTGTAGCATGCAGAGGGAACCCATACAGGCAGAGAGAGTGCCACATCATTTTATTGATGATGATGGTGATTGATGTGGTCATTGTTTAAAGACTGCTATTCAAAAATGATTTTTAAATGATTATTAGTTTTTTCTAGTGGTACTGGTAGTAAGCCAGTTTTCCAACTTTTTCTAATTCAGCAGGTAGAAAAGCTAAAATGATAACAACAGAAATTTGTTCCTCAATAGACTTTAATGTAAAAGGTTTTCATTATCTTAATATAAATTGATTAGCACACAACAGCTGCTGCTACTAACAGAGCAAAAACATAGTAACACAAAGATATTAAAGTTATGTTTGTGGCCCACTTAAAAATTAGCTACCCAGATTATACAACGTCAGTTTAAGAAAAAATGAACAAAAAAACATCCAGAAGACTCTGGTGAGTCAAGCATCTCTTTTAATTGATATTTTTACACAGATATTCTTTTAGAACTGAAAATAAACTGCACCAGATGAGACCTTTAAAGATTTTTTAACTCTTGAAAGCTAACAATACGGCAATAATAAAGACAAAACATGAATTTTGTAAAACAAACACCAAGTGACACCCAGTTAATTAACTTCCTATTTTCTGCAGTCACGTCTTTTGCTGCATATAATAAATCATATTACAGAGATTTAAAACTTAAGCTACTGCTCACTTTTCAATAATTAACTTGTAGCTTCATATCATATATGATCATCCCAGAAAATCCAATTTATTAAATTTGTCTCTTAATCATTGCAGTGTTTGTTTGTGAGCACACGCAATGGGTTTGAATGAAGGATCAGATTCCTCAAAGGCTTTCCATTTCAGCACAAGCACTGCAGTGTTAAGTAAATGATTACCCACATTTACCAGAATGCTTAAAACAACACGAATAAGCACAAGTACAGTCATTCCAAATAACCCAGTGCTGACCTTGGATGGATTGTGTCAGCACAATGCTTTGGTCAATCGGGAAAATTTGCATAATCTTCCCACATAAAATGACACTTGACACATTACCCATCGTGTTTTAAAGATAGAGTATGGTTACCCTTTTTTTTTTTGTAATACCATGTGACGATGATCATGGTTGACATAGAATTACGGCTCGCAGTAATATCAGCAGGCTGATTAAAATAAATGGTTTGTTAATAAGATGACTAGTTTCTGTTTTGCAGATTAACAGAAAAGCATCTGTTTTATCTTCTTAGCTTTATTTCAGCCATAAAAACATAAAAAAAACTGTCACAGTTCCATCAGTCGTAATTTATGATCTTTACAGGGCACAATGTTTGGGGAGTTTCAGATTTAGAGCCTCATTTAAAAGAAGAAAAGGAAGAAAAGTGTGACAATCTTGCGATTATTACCGCTGTCTTTGCTGTTGTTCTTATCTGAACAGCAATAGCAGGTGGTAAATGGAAGCTTTAGGTGGCTGGAGTTTTTTCAATATTATGCGAACGTGACTCTGTGTGTTTTTGAGTAATTTTAACATTAGTTTGGTTTTTTATACAAACTTGAATTCAGACTGTATTTTGTTTAGTTTTTCTCTCATCTGGCGGTTTTTTTTTTGGTCTATAGGTGTGGAGAAATAACACAAACCCTTTTGCTACAGTTTGCTCTGTGTGTGTGTGTGTGTGTGTGTGTGTGTGTGTGTCTGTGTCTGTGTGTATCTGGAGTGCAATGGAACGTCATTCTCATCAAGATTCTGCCCCTCTGAGACTGAAATCATTTATAGCCTGGGCAGGTTGCTTTGGGCCTTCACCATTTTTTGTTGTTTGCTTGATGTTGGAAGTGGCTTAGCCTGAGGCTGTTCCAGTAGGTACATGCTTTAAATCCCTTTTTTTAAACCACTGATTTATTGCTGATCCCGTTGTAGCTTGTATACTGTGATCATTTTGTTGCATACCTATTGTGAGGTTCATAACAAGGTAGATACATCACATACTTAACATTTTATTTCTGCCCCCTAAACTCCTGCTGTGAAAAAAGATGGTTGGGTAGCACCCAGTAATAATCATGCTATTTAGCATTAATAAGGTTTTATTACGGTATTAGCATCAACAACGTTAGTGTAAAACCTACATAAATATCAACATTTAATATTGAAAACCCAGCTGCTAAATGTTCATGAAATTAGCTTGCTTTAAAGTAGCCAGGTCAAGATCATCATCAGCAGTTGCAGGTTGAGAAATGTTTCTAACATTAATTTCACACTAAGCTGAAAATGATGATAAGCTGGTGTAGAATATTCAATACCAAGACACTTACTTAGTCTGCAGTTTCTTAGAACATGCAAAATTCTAGAAAGCATCTACAGTTCCATAAGAATTAAGAGAGTAAGCAGTACCCAGCTGTTAATAATCAAATGCAGTTGATTAACTGATCATCAGTAAGTTTGTGCAACTGTGTAAAAGGTTTTGTCAAATTGCTTTCAGGAGCATTTAGATGTGTGTCAATATAGTGTCACAATCTACCCAGGAGTGGGTGTCACAGCAAGTTCACTCATAGGTCAGACTGTATGATGCTCAGACAAATCGCAAGTGCTAGGTCTCAGTTAGCATGTGAAACATTAAAGGAAAAGAATCCCAAAAAGACTTTAATAGAAATATTTCAATAAATTCTTTGTTAGCATATAAAAACCTTTGAATTTGACATTTACCTTCTCTTCATCCCAAGCTCATGAAGTTAAATAAAGTACAAGTATGATAA